TCGTCTCTCTCTTTCTGTCCATTTGGGTGGTCGACAGGGAGGGCACTGCCCACTCCCATGAAGGCGCGTGCAATATGGCTGCAGAATTCGACTGCAATTCCCAGACTAATCACGAGATTGACCAAGCTAATGGCATTGAGGCTGACGCCCCAAAGTCCCATGATGCCCATGCAATTTATCACAGTGAGGGCTACCACAGCGGTGACGATCATTCCCGTCCTCCACGACCCTAATATGACGGACGTAACCAGTAGGACTGACAGAAGACCAACGCCAAGCACTTGTTGGGTCATGTGGATGATGTGGGAATACTGATCAAAGAAGACGTAGAAGAGCGAATAGGGAAACACTGTTGTTCCTGTTGACTCGGAGAGGTCTCTGGCGATACGATGAGCTGCTTCCAAAGCATTGATAAAATCAGCTTGAGTTTTCAATGGAGCATGGAACGTTCGGAAGTGAGATGCCTCAACGGAAGATCCATCCTGTGACAGTGCGATTGCTGTACCATAAGCCGCCTGGCCCCCCAGAGGACAATCCTCATCAGTTGGAGACTTGAGCCATTGCTTCACATATCTGATGAACTCGGGGCCTTCGGGGAGCCCATTCATTGTGATATTCCATGGAGGGACAGAATCCTTGAAGCATGGCTGACATGACCGTGCGCGATCGTGTGGTCCACAGAATATAGATGGATCTTGTTTGCGAACTCTACAGCAAGAATCCAATGCAGGGTCAGTCCACTTCAAGAAGTCATCGATCCATGAAGCCGCTGGTTCGGAAATGAATGAGGACTCTGGACGCTTGCGCTCCCCCTCAAGAATATTAGCAACGGACTGGTCCATGCAGGTCGTGAATCTTGCACAAAGAGCCTGCTGCCCAGTTCGCTTCGTAACGTCCACATCCGTGGAGACGAAATAGACTGGTGGTCCGACGTCCAGTAGAAGGTCTACTGCATCGAAATAGGGCGCAAGATATGAATCCGATGGTAGGGCAAGCCTTTGATCTAGGAATCATCAGAATCAGACTATTTCTTTAAGAAAGATATGCCTTACCTAGTCCGAGGGAAATATGCTGCATGAGGATGACCGAAGCGATGAAGATCCCAGAGAAAATTAGGATGATGAAACCCTTGACATCACGTCGTAGGATGAAGGGACCATATCTTCTACGTATAAACCGAGTTAATCGACTAGAAGGTATATGATGTCCTTCCGACAGGGAGATCTTTCCTGGAAGTCGGATGCAAGGGAAGCAGTCGGGTCGGCTAGCCTAGTAGACGTTGAGTAGATGAAGAATTACCGGTTGATCACTCACCTCTACTCTCTTTAGATCTATGGTCATGGCGCTCACGAAGACGGTAATTTGAAGCAAAGCATTCAAGAAGACGCTCCCAGCTGCATATAAAGCAAAGTTTCGCACCGCAGGCATGGGAACGAGAGCACCCAGGGCGAAGGCGATTGTTTCGGTTGTGGTACTGAGCAGAATAGAAGGTCCCATTTTTGCTACAGCACGAGCAACCCTTTCTTCGGCGGATAGGTGTAACGGAGCCGACTCGGCGTCGAGTTCGGAGTCGTCATTGATAGATGCGAATGGTGATCGGAAAGAACGAGGTGAAACGT